CAAGACCTATATAACAAGAAATGTAATTTTTGTATGTGATAAGATCAGTTCAGTCCCCTCGGGATTTATCCTGTAACCCTGTACTGCAGTTTGTAGCTTCTTTGTCAGTGCCAGCCATGTGGATGAGTCATGGCCATCACTTGACCAATTTGCTCTCTGTGAAAGCCTGAGAGAATGTTTTCTCTCCATGTGACTCTCCTTAGGCACACTCTGCATCATCCTTCACTTTCCTCTGTGGCCCCATAATCTCCTTGATCATTAAATTTGAAACACAACTGAGTTACAGGATGTTACAGCACAGGTTCTCCTATGTCCTGAGTCCTCACTGACCTTGAAAGGCTAGGTGCCTGCACATTTTAAAGGGATCTCTGTGTGTGTGTGTGTGTGTGTGTGTGTGTGTGTGTGTGTGTGTGTGTATGCACGTGCTTTTAGGACAGGGTCTATAGGATCTACAGGGTCTCACTACGTAGTTTGGACTCGTAGTGATCCGCCTGTGTTTAGCCTCCCAAAAGCTGGGATTACAAGCACACACCACCATGCCCAGTTTCAATCACTGTCTCAGTGCACCCCGTGGGTAGGGCTGGCACAGCACCCCAGGATTGAAACCAGCTGCTGTATTTGCCTAAGCAGGTGCTTTAATACACTGAGTTAGTTGGCCGTCTATCTCAGGAATCTCATTTAAAAATGATCACTCACTACCTAGATTAAAAAAAAATCTATAGAGTAATATGTTTCTTGGTACTGAAAAGCAAACAAAGAGATAAGCATGCAAAACCTGAGGAAGAATGATTCAAATCACAGTTTTAAAATGCGGTTTAGTGTTAAAACTAAACTGCCACTTCATGGGATGGTTTTCTATGCATGCAGAGTGCTCTCTCCTATGAACCCCAACATCATCCTTGAAATAAACCCATTAAAGCCCTATGTCCCATGATTTTATTGCCTCACCTTCCATCTTCTCAGCCCTGAACTCCATTGCACTGAAATCGCCCTCACTGGTGTCACAGATGACCTCCAAGTGCTAATTTGAGTAACTTTTATTGGGCTTCTAGAAAACTGTAGAATTTTTTCAGCACCCAGAAAAATCACAGCCGCTCCTTCTCAGGGAGCTTGCTGGTTTTCCTATGATCTTCATCCTTTGTCACTCGCTGCTTTCCAGGGTTTCATGCTAGGTTTCATCATTTTCTCACTCCCGTACACATGTGTACCCTAGAGATTCCATCCATTCCCATGAGATCAGTAACCTCAGTCACTTCTTAATCCGTAAATCAAGATCAAATATAAATTGTATGCTTTGGGACTGACTACCATCCATGCAACCTGTGCTCTTACGTGGCGCTTAAGGACCCCAAGCTAAGTGCCCTGAGCACTTTATCCTGTGGTCCCTCATCGCCTCGCCAATGTCCCCTGACTCAGTGATGGCATATCCAACCAGCCAGTTCTAGCAGTGGCTCTTGGGGTTCTTTCTTCTTTTCAGGTTTCATAATCAAACGTCTACATATTTCCTCTACTTCTAAAATATGTATAAGGCTCCTCAGCTTCTCAAGTTCCACACCCACTGTCCTGGCTCAGGCCACCACAGTGTCTCTCAGCCTCCTGCTTGCCTCAGCTCTCCTATCTTCTTCTAATCATCTCTCCAGATTGCAGACAACTTGTTTTGTTGTTTCTTTTTTAAAGCACTTTCTTTTGTTCATATTATCCTTTTTCATTTTTTTTTCATTTTTTAAAGCAAGTACAAAATGATATTAAAACAGAAAAGTTACAAGTGATACAGAATTTCACTAAACAAAGTAATATAAATTTCACAGTATTTGTTGTAATGCAATAGTGCTGTCTTCCGAGTAGTGATTCATATTACCAGACATATGCATGCAAAAGAAGAAATATATAAGAAATTAAGAAGACAAAAAGAACAAATAATTGAAAAAAGGAGATAAAACAAATGAAGCATCATTTGCTCCTTTCCGTCACACTTTCTGTTGCCTTGTTTGTTTTTGGTCTTTTTATTTTACTGTATTTTTTGGTTGAACTGCTTTTTAGGAGAGGTTTATTTTTTTGGTTTTGGTTCCGAGGACCAAACCCAGGGCTTCCAGTTTGCTAGGCAAGCATTCTACCGCTGAGCCAAATCCCCAGCCCCTCCATCACACTTGCTGATTGAATACTTTCTCCACTTAAAATCATGCAGACACTCCCAGCAAAGTTAACAGAACACAAACACCAGGATACAGGAACCTTGTTAATCTGGCCCCTAATAATTCACCAGTATCTTTTCTTGCTCCTTCCTTCTTCCTCCCCTTCTCTCTACAATCTCTTTAGGCTGAAATGCTTTCCATTCCTCAAATACCAAATTTTCTGATACCTTTGGGGGCTAGTACACTGTCCTTCCTCTTTTAAACTCTTATTTATGTTTAAGACTTGAACAAAAAGGTTGCAGCCTCTGAGAAGACCTGCTTGACTCTCCCACCTAAATCTACTTAGGTATCTACTTTAGATCCCCCATTAACTCAAAAGTCCTCATCATATTCTTCCCTGTCTTCCAATGAACTATCAGCCTAAGGGCAATGACCACATTACTCCACCATTCTACTCACCAATTAGTATAGTGCTAAGTACCACTTGGTTCAGTGTATATCACCAAGGGGAACACAATAGTCCATTTGATATGAGCAAGAATTTCCAAATAGATCCAAGATCTTTTCATCTGTCACCTTAATTATCAGCAAACGCTTACAGTTGCTTGACACACAACCTACCTAGAACCTAAAAGAAAACACAGGATAGCATTTGTGCTTTTCATGGAAAGGATTCTCAGAGGAACTTCTTGATGCCTGTTTAAAAGAAGCTACATCAGCCAGCTGTATAATTTTAGTCAAAGAACAGCACCTGCCTGGCAAGGGCAAGGTCCCAAGTTCAATCTTGGGTGCTAAAAAAAAAAGAATCTAAGTGTAAGACGCCAGCCTTTTCAGGCTGTCCTGCACACCTGTGCCTGTCAGAGTCAACCATCATCTTGCCTTATTTGAAGGTGTGGCCCAGGCTGCACCCTGTGCACTGTTGGAAATTTAAAAGGTCAGTTTTTGCTCTCCTAGGAGGATGAAATGGGATGGAAAGAGGCACGAGCTGCCTAACAGTGCAGAAGTGGAATCTTCAGCAGCCTCCGCTCCCTCCCCCACCACTGCTGGCTCAACCCCAAGCCCACCCCGCCCCCATTCCTTCTCGGCCTGCTCACTTTCTGCACTCCCCTCCCCACATACCACCCAGGCCATAATCAAGACCTTCCCTGAAAGCTTGAAGTCTGTTCTCAGATCCCTCGGTCCACCCCCATCCACACAAAAACTTCTTGTTATTTTCAGGCAGAAAATAATGAACAGATCCAAACATAAGCATTCATGAATTCCTCCTTTAAAGCAAACATCGAGTGAGCTATCTTCCCCTAAAAGTGACGAAGAATGTTGAAACTGTACATTAAGACTGCTGGAACTGGAAGCTGCCTTCCCCTTAAAGAAAAATAAAAAGTTCTCTCCTTCTCCATTTTCATTGTCCATCCAGGCCCAGGGCCTCCCACCAAGTGCTGCCTGCAGCAGGCTGCACACCCGGCCACATCAGCAGGGCGGGAGCCTGGCAGCTCCTGGTGGTGTTTGCATCAGTTTCCAGGAATGCTTTGTGACCCAGCTCACTCTGCTGCGTTCAGCAGAGACGTTTCTCCTCTCCTTTTACATACCTGGGCTTGAACTTCTACTTTTCTAAATCTCAAAAAGCACCCAGTTTGAGCATAGCCAGCTCCTGTGGTTTCTATCATCTGTGTAAGACTTAACTTTCACAGAAATTCTTCCTTATAGCAAAGAAGAAAAAAAGGGAGAGAAGCCAGAAAGAAGATTCCCGAAGAGCCCATCCACTTTTGTCTTGAGGCGACGACGCAGTTGACCTCAAGGGGCTCCTCTCCTGAGGATAGAATGAACAGAAGGACACTGAGCCGTCTACCACTGCCTCATCCAGCCAGGAGGCCGGGTGGGCCAAAGAGGAGCACGAAACCTGGGTCCCACAGAGGCTTTGGAAGACAGACTCCTCTGTCGGTATTTCTGTCCTCGGGACCTCAGGCCCCCTCCCTCAATGCCTAGGGTCCAGCTTCCAGCTCTTTCCTCTCTGCAGAGGGTTAGGGAGCCTGATGAGGCAAGGCAGAGAGTGAGTGTGGAAGGGAGAATTAAAATCCATGGCTGAGGGGCCGCTGGCTGGACAGGGAAGATGTTGACACCCCAAACTAGAATGAAAGGCCCCTCTGGATCTTCTGGCGCCTGGTAGGGGGCGGAGTGAGGAACAACGCTGGGAGGGCGGCGGCGTGGGATGTAAGAGGGGGCAGCCACTGGGCAGCCAGGTCATCTGGGCCTAGGCTCAGGGTGCAACTGATCAGTGCAGACACGGAACAGGGATGAAGACCCGAATTGTGAAGGGGAGAGGCAGGTTCTCCACCCCGCCGTCACCTCCTAAGGGAGAGGCTGAGGAAGCTGGGCCTTGGCACCCAGCCGCAGTCACTTTGCAGCCAGACAGCTCCCCCAACTCCAGTCCGCCGGTAGCCCTCGCAGGGGCCGAGCAGGCTGTCCACGGGCTTCCGGGGCAGCTAGGCCTGGCTCGGCGCTCACCGTGAGGACCCTCCCGGAGCGAGATGCCACGCCACACTCTGCGCCCCACCCCACGCCCGAGTAGAGGCCTCGGAGGGCAGGATACCACTGCCCTCCCCTTTGTGAAGGGGAGAGAGGCCCAGAGACGCGGGCAGTGAGCACGTGCCCGCCCAGGGCGCCCGCGGGCCAGGCTGGAGGCGGCCTTGAGCTGCGCCACGCTGTCCTGTGGGTCCCCGCCCGCGCCCTGTCCCCTCCTCCCAACGAGGCCCTCGGGCACCCGGGCGGCGGGGCTGGACAGCTCCTGCTTTGATCTCGGCCCCGGGTCCCTGTCCCGCGGCTCGGCTCCCTCCTGTGGCCCGGTGGGTGTCTGCGGGGCGCTCCGACGTGTCCCCGCGCGTTTCCAAACTTGGAGAGGGCTTGGGAGGGGCGGGAGCGCGGGGGTGGGGGGCGGAGGGAGCCAGACAGCGACTCAGACTTTCCCCTCGAAACCCTCAAAAGTGTCCACGTCCTCAAAAAGAATGGAACCAATTTAAGAGGCCGGCCCCCGGCCACGTCCCTTCCCCGCTCCCGCCCCTGCGCCCCCGCAGTCTCCTCCCGGGCCCCGCGCGCCCATTGGCCGAGGCGCTTTTGGAGGCGCCCTCGGGCCGGGGAAACTTTTGCCATATAAATAAGGCCGATCCGGGCTTTATTATTTTAGCACCAGGACGGCAGGAGGTTTCGGCTAAGTTGAAGGTGCGGCCGCCACTGCATGCCCGCGCCCGCCAGGTGATCCTCGCCGTGAGCCGGGCCTGCGACACAAGGAGTCTGCATGTCTAAGTGGTAGACATGCTCAGCTTTGTGGCCTCGCGGACGGTGCTGCTGCTCGCAGTCACTTGGTGCCTAACAACATGCCAATGTAAGTGCTCGGCTCGCTCGCTGGGGAGAGGGGCGAGGCCACACGGGTGGGCGCCGGGCTGGAGAGGGGAAGGCCAACCCCGAGTGCTCCTCCAGCCTGCAGCGAGGGCTCTTTGGCGCCCGAAAAGTACTTTTAAAAGGAAACACAGAGGGGTGACTGTCGCCCACAGTTAGGGAATAGTTTTCTCTTAAAGAGAGCTGGCTTCATCTGATCACTCAAGGAGTTCACAAGGAGCGCAAGGGCTCTCTGTCCATAAGGCGTAGCGTGAACACCTGTCCTCGGGCCCACCTTGTCGATGTTGAGGTCTCCTTCGGAAAGTCCTGTAGCTCGGCTTTACGAAACTCGCCTCAACTTTCATCTTCTGGGCGCTTTAACGTTGGCCTGAAGGATGCTGCTCGTGATCCTGATGACCAGGACCGCGACGATGGAAAGGCGCCCTCTAGAGGGAGGAAAGAGAAACCACTGGGGACGGGGCCTTGGGGCAGAGGGATCCCAGTTAAGGACCTTTGGGTTTATCCAGCACGGTGTGCATTCCCCAGGGTTAAGGGGTGAATCCTGGGAAGGCATCCTACTATTTAGAACAGATACCCTCTAAAAACTAAAAATCGCCTTGTCATAATCGGGCAATGGAAAGGGTAACATCACTTCAATAAAATTTGCTCTATGTTTTGTGGAGCCTTAGAGTTACCCCTTTAACATTTTTCCAGTGCTATTCAGACACCAAGAACGCTACAAGTGGGGAAGTACCGACCTTGACCTGGACCGCTCCAGAGACTGGAGCTTCCTAGGAGCCTAGCACTAACTTACCACGTGACCTTGGGCAAGTCAACTTGGCCCTTTCCTAAAATGTGAGCTGGAAACTAAGTGGACTCCAAGCCTACTTCTTAGCACTAGGTTTTATGACCAGACTTATGAGTCAAGACAAAATGAAAACTGTCAGTCTCTTTTTCACCTTAAGTATGCCCGCCTAGCTGCTAGACTAAGATATTGAGCTGATAGGAGATAAAGGGTATCTGGCCACGCCCTACCTTAAAAACTTGCTCCACCTCATGCCACGGTGTCTACAGCTGCATAATTACTGCTGTGTGTGTGTGTGTGTGTGTGTGTGTGTGTGTGTGTGTTTCCTCTGTCTCCTTCTAGCACACACACTGTAGATACTAAAGACTAGTTGTACTGAATAAACTCACATTACCATGCTAGCATTGTAAGAGACCTAAGAGTGCAAGAGAACTAAGGAAGAGTTAACTCCTGCAGAAAAATTAAAAACAGATCTAGAGAAGTTTGAAGCTACAAAGAGAAAATCACCTTCTCCTCAAAAACCACCGTGGTCTGGAATAGCCATTACCACATACAGATTCTTCAAAATGGCTCACATCTGAGTAATCAAAAGGCAAATATCCAAACTCTGAAGGACTTCCAATAATGAAGTCAGGAATAATTCTTCCTACTGATGGGCACAAGGAAGTAAACATATCATTTTTCTAATTTAACAGCAATTCACATAAATTGCCCTTAAATGTCAATACTGGCCTGGCTGAGGTCCACCGTTCTGAGTTGTGACTATTGAAACAGATGTTCTCTATCCAAATGACATACTCTTCGGCCACCTAATTTAAAACAATTTTTAGGGTCTGATTCATCCAACTGCAAGCCTGGCCACACTTGTATCCCATATTAACCTGTAATTTTATAATGGAGAAAGGGAGTTCAGTCTTATACCACTTCAGACTTATACCAGTTTAGTAAAGAGGCACATTATCTCAGTTTATTATACCCATTATATTTCAATATCTTTAATCCACACTCTTTCCATTTATACAAAACAATCTTTTCTCAGAAACAAAATTCATTCGTGTTCATAAATTGATCTTACCTAATTTAAGCAAACTAATTTAAAGCAAAAGTTCACATGTCCAAATTAATCTATTTCCATAGTTATTAATATGCAAATTAAACCTTTTTTAAAAAGACATTCTCAATATAAATGGTAGAAACTCAGTAAAGTGCTAACTAACTTCAATATTTTATTTTAAAAGTCTGCTTTTTAAGAAGTCAGCATACTATGCAAAATTTTACTTCTTTTAGACTTTTAGATATGAAAGATGATCTAAACCATAAATTATTTCTTTGTCAATCTACTGGCATTATCTTATAGTCAGTGATTCATCTGTGTAATTTCCAATCTAATTGCTAAGTATTAGAACTATCCTTCAGACACATTAATATTTCACAACATTTATAAAATAGCAAATAATTAACAATTTAATTCAAAATATATTTACATATCATTATTGCAAAAGAAAATCATCTGACTTTTCCCTGCCATATTTTTGATCTGCATAATTTCCAGGTTATTTGAATATGCTTAATAAAAAATAATACTTTTTTCTTTAATTATGTAAGTCAATGTTATACACTTGTATAAGTAAAAGTAAATTTAATTACTTCTACTAATCAGTAAAATGATACTAATATTTTTTCCAACTTTCCCCTTTACTTTTCAGCTTTACAAAAGGTGAGTAGAATTATTTTTTTAAAAGCTAAAGCTTTGATCCCAGTCATGTCTGCTGTGGAGAGAGAAGATGAAGCTCCACTGGTATTTACCAACCTGACTTTCCAAGATAATTGTAAAGGAAAGTAATAATCAAAAATCCTGGCTGCCATAGAAAGTATCCACCCCATTTTCCAAAATGGGTGGTGCTACTGAATAAAGCCAGCCTCCTAGAATCCACACATGACTAGAGGAAGGGTTTGAGCACCAGCTACCATGGAACACAAGACTTCTCTAAGCTAGAAAACACTGTCTTCCTCTTGGAATCATTGGCAAAAGTATTATGAACAAGTTCTTAACTTATGAATTGAACTTGCAACCTAAGTACAGATAAGTATGCATATATTTGGTTTTGCACAGAACATAGTTTAGGAAACTTATCGGTAAGAAAATGTCATATTCTATTTTGAACTACTAAATTAAGACAGCAATAAATAAGCTATATAATGTAGTCTGTAGACAGCAAAATGAAAAATATATACAATTATCTTTGTAATAACCTTTTATTTATTCTTTTCTAGGAAACTCTGAGAAAGGTAAGAGCTCAATGTTTCTCCATGAATATCTGAGATTATCAAAGATAGCATTCAGTTTAACTAAATTTACAGAAAACTATACAAGAAAAATACTTCGTCAGGATTTTACCCTCATGGACACATAAGATAAAATAATAACCTTACTGTTTGAGATAAAGTTTTATTTCCTTCCTGAATCATCTCTAATTACATTTACTTAAGCAAGTCATTTATTTAAATGCTAGTGAAAAAAACTTATTTTTTTTCCTGAGGATAGATTTATGCTATTTTAAGTGTAGACAGTAACTTTTTTTAAGGATCTTGACTACAGTATATAAAAATGTTGTTAAAGATGTAACAGAATAATCATTTTATCCATGTTAATAATCTTACAAAAAATGCTGTATAAAATGTTGGCCTAGTGGCTGAATTGTACAGCAATTTGATGTCATCCACTATGAAGAAAAGATTGCATGTAATTATAATAAAACAACATATTTTTCTCTATGGTTTAGTGCCAATCTTTTCAGCTACCATATAGTAACGTTGTGGTTAGATCAGCCTTACCAACTAATTATTAGCAAGAATGACTAGTGTGTTCACTGGGTAGCACTTAGACAATTTATCATCATGTTATTTGTACCTTCCTTGTAGGGCCCCACTGGGGACAGAGGACCGCGCGGAGAAAGGGTATGTAATTGTTGAACTCTTGAAGGCTGTTGGCCCATATTTGAATAACTACATATTAGGAACTACAGGAGGCTGACAATTTATATAATATTATGTACCCAGATAATTGCACCTCCTTTTAAATAGATGAAGCCTTACAGAAGTGAATGAGCATTATTATATGTAATCAATATTCTTTTTTGGTCAAGATTATCCTTTTAAAAAAAGCTATTGCAGACAGCCATTTTCTTTGCATAGTCTATCTTTCTTTGTTTTTAATTGGGCTGCCCAGTACACACATAATAGAAGAGTATCCGGCACCTACACCACAGGGTCCTTCTTTTAGGCATGTTTTGTTTGCTTTTGAAGTGAGATCTCTTCTACAGCTTGGGAATAATAGTGAGGCAGCAGTGAGTAATGTATTTCTCTTTCTAAATGCGTACATGTACAAATCAGGATTATATCTTATAGGTTCCATTCTTAGATCTTCCGACTATGCTTAATTGACATTTATTATATCGCTGCCAAAAGTGAGCGCTTAATTGACATTAAGTACATGGCCTTGCATTACTTCCATTATATAACATTGTACCAGTATTTAAATACATATATCCTTATACTTACATTAAAATGTAGATTTACGCACATTCCACTCAAATATTTTGTTAGAGGTAGCATTATAACAGTTGTCTAAATTAATGGACATACTTTTCTAGTATGTGATAAAGTGGCCTTATCAATTAATCAAATAATCACACACGACATACCAAAGCACTAAACATATTCCTTAAAGTCGGAAACTTACAACCAACATACATAGCACATTTGTGCACTGCAAAACATGCTAAGGTCATAGAATCACCTAGCTATCATGTTGAGCCCTATTTGAATACTGGGAAACCATTTTGAGGTATCAATAGCTGAGACAGTCCTTTAGGAAAGTTCTCCTAGTTTGTTTTCATATGTCAGTTATTAAAGCTTCTTTAAAAATATACCCATGTTCTGAGTTCAATCTCTGGTTCTGCAAAAACAAAAAAAAATATATATATACATATATATATATATCCATGTCATAAGAGAGTGTCAACATCAGGTGTGGTAAATTAATTTCAACCCTTCATACAGAATAAAAAGTCAGAAGAATATATTTTGGGTCTCAATTTTAATGTCATATAGTTTCTGTGTGGCCTATCTAACCCTACTTTCATTGTCTTGCACCTAATAGGGTCCACCAGGCACCCCAGGCAGAGATGGTGAAAATGGTCCCCGTGGCCCTCCTGGGCCACCTGGCCTTCCTGGCCCCCCTGGTCTTGGTGGGGTAAGGTGTCTTAAGTATTTTTAACTTTCATTTGATTTTTAGTTTCTTTAGTTTTCTTCTCTAGGAAAAAAAGATTCATGGTAAGGTTTATTTTTAGCAGTTAAGCACAAATCTGCTTTCGGAGGGGGGATTCGTGTATTTCACTTCATTTCTTTAGTTTCTTCATGCAAGGTTCTGCTTTGTCTAATCTCTGTGTGAGCCTTTGCCAATTTCATTACTGGTCTTTATGTTCATGATGTGGCCATCAGCACCATTATTTAATTTGGGGATTTGATCACTTTTATCTGTAGGGCACAAATTAGAGATGTTGTATTATTAAAGAGTTTGATTAGATTGCAACACATAAGTGCAATCCCTTTTCTTAAGCAATTTCACAAACGTTCTACCCTTTTTTTCCTCCTTGGTTTGAAGTCTGCTGAACCAACATTCAAAGTAGTTTTAGGTTTAATTTGCTTGAAACTAATTTGAGAAAAGTCCTTTTTCTTTTTTCATTATTATCTTTTTTAGGCTTTTTAACAATGGTATGAGAGCCAAATGGCCTCACTGCAGGAAGGAAAACATATTTGTTTAATTGGTTAGCACTATGAATCAGAATCCTGATACTAATATCCAGCCTTATGCCAGTAACGTAAAACCTTTCTCCCTTGAAGATCTTATTATGATTGCTTATCTACTGTGTGCATTAAAAAGCACCTTTTTTAATAGAGCTACCACTCTAAGAGAGATCTTTAACAGTAAAGTTATTACTGTGAACAGTTTTTTATAAGTTTAATCTTCCATGGGGCATTTTCATTTAATTTTCCTCTAGACTTACAAGTCTTTATAGACTTCCTGAAACCCCAGCATGCAAAAGGTCTCTTAATCATTTTAGGTAATTCATGGGCAAGGGCAACAGGTAAAAATGCAAAGCTATCTTCTGATCTCTGCTTAGTTTATTGGGAGCTGTCTGTGACTTTAAACATTCAGGAAACTTCCCCCCTCTCTGCAGGGGCAGAGAGTCTGAAGGGATGAACAGTGTTTAGCAAGGCAAAAGAAAGTCTTAAACCGTAGCACAGGAAAGCTCATCACATCAAGCTGGGTGTAGGCTTATATTTTAAATTTAAATATCTGTTGAATTTTTAGGAGTGTATCTTAGTATAGAATTTTAAAATAAGTGCAAAAATATTTCTTTCTTCTGAATAACGATAGAAAAAATTATTGAACAAATGGGAAAAATGAAGGCAGGTATCACAGCTTAAACATTTATATATTTTTCTTTACCCCTCCAGAACTTTGCTGCCCAGTATGATGGCAAAGGAGTCGGACTTGGCCCTGGACCCATGGTATGCTTATCTCTTTTTATCTTCTCTAAAACACATACTACACAGAACATTTATGGTAAATTTCAGTGTCATTTCTTTAGCTACTCAGCTGTACTTAATACTTGGATGAAACTTATGCAAATCTATCCAAACCTAAGTCTTGGTGATGGATTTCAACTTTCTTTACAAATACGTTACACTAAGATAGGCCAGATATTCATGCCTAAAGAAGTAATCTTTGGACGTAGTAACCATAATTTAGGCAAAGTCTATCTAATTGTAATTGATGCCAGTTAATGTTTGGGCATTTTTTAGCATTGCTTAGCGTGTTAAGCAACACATAGGAGCAGTTTTTATTAAGTTCCTGAAAAATATCCAAAAGGGGAGGAGGGATGGAAAAAATATATATGAAAGGATCATCAAGTTGTGATATAGCCCTTTTATTTCGTAACTGGAGAATTGAAGGTGTTTTCCTAAGTTCCTGCAGGTAATTAAGAACAGAATTTGAACAAACCACCAGGCCAGATGTCTGATGGTCAGCATTCTAGCCTATATGGTTATTGAAAAGCACATTCGTTTAGTCACAAATATTTACTGGGTGCCTTGAAGGGACCCCCCCCCCCGTATTGTGTACTTTAAGAGCTGGCAGTGAAAGAAGATGGCACAACCTGAGTCCCCCAAGGAATCTGCAGTGTACACACATATGCTTCGTGCTCTGTTTTGATTTTTAAAATCTCTTTACTCTATCAATTATAAATCATCAAGCAAGAAAATGCATGTGAAACCTAGCATTTATGTCACTTAGCACAAATCTTCAGGGACATTTCCTATCACTTGAGTCACAAATTATAAATATTCCACATGTGCTTATGATACTAATCGTGGTGATGACCTCTCACACAAGGAAGGCTTCATACCAAACGTGAGAAATGTGTTGGGGAAAAAAACTGATAAATTCCTACAAAACTACGTACTTGTATAATATGTGAAAAAGAAAAATATTACTAGAAGTAAAACTATTAGTTTGATTAAGTGCTACAGAATTTAGTGCACTGCATACACAATTCGGTGAAGCTAATTACTTGTTTCCAAAGGTATTTATCTGCCCATGGTTAAAGTTATCTTTAAAATAGAAATTTTACCTGGCCCACGCATCCAATGCACCATTTTCTGCTAAAGCTAACAGCCTGTGATAAACGGATAGTCTAGAAGGGCAGTACTTTCTGCAAATTAAAACTCTCTTGAGAAACAATGCATATTTAATTGATGATTTCCAATTTGCTGATTTTTCCTGGTAACTTAAAAATGTTCATATTGAACTTAGAACTGGAGGAGGGTCTTTTGGTTGTGTTTCTATTGGCTATTTGAGATCAGCTCTTCCTGCTGACGTCAGACGTTCTAAAATAGCACCTAGTCCTAAAGAGGCAGCAAAAAGAGAAATGAAGTGAGTTGTTAGTGAATGTCATTTTTTAAAAAGCACACACAACCTGGGAAAATTAATATGGATTTCAGACTCCCCTGTCATTGGAATATCTCTCTGCGGGGGCGGGGGCAGAAATCAGAGTATTTTTCATTTAAATATCAATGAAATATAATGGAAGCCTGCACATCCACATATATGCACAGACACATGTAATCTACAGATTTGTGTTGCACACGCAGGGAAAATGGGAAGCAATAAGGTATTAAAGTAATTTTCCATGTTGGAAAATCAATAAGTCTAAAACCCCTAGGGCTCTTCTCTGAATTAATGAGTAATCATAGTTTGTCTCCAGCTCCCACAAAATAAACTACCTTTAATGTAAATAAAATAGTTGCAAATGCATGGAAAATGAATAAATAGAAATAGAAATTCATGATGTCAAAGAAAATTATTTTAACGTACAATGAAAAATACATTTATTGAAAATCAATAGCTTCTTTTAATGTCAAAGCAATGCCTACAATCCACAGAAATAATTCCTGTGATTAACAGAACGTGCATTTGAAATCAAATCCATAGTGTTTCGGTATAGGCATTCACATGGGGACATAGTTTGTCTGCAGATGTGCCATGAACAAATTTCTGAGGACAGGTATGTGAAATATTTTCAGCATTAGGAGCAGTGGGTCCTACAGACTAGCTTATACAGGTATCACTACTGAAAACAGAAAAATGTGTGTTTAGCTTGCAAACTAGTAACATTCTACTTCTTGCTTTTGCGTTTCAAATTAAAGAACAAAAGAGGAAATAGTCTGCAGTCACTTAGGCTGCATTTTAAATAATACCATATGTGGACTCTTCAATAGGCTGTTTCAGTAGTGTTTTATTTTTCCCTCACTCCCCACCCCCAGTAGATCCACTTCTGGTTGGCATGTTCATCAGTCATCAAAAGCCCTTAAAGGAGCAATAAGGTTCTAGCAAGCTTCCCTCTCCAATCATTAAGAAGGACTTTTGATCTTTTTCAATTTGTGACCCTCATGGCAATAAAAATATCAATTTCTTAGCTAAGCGTGACATGGGGAGATGACATATGATCGAAGGAGTCCAAATGGACTTCCCTGTGAGCTGCACCAAGGCCAGTTGTGTATTCTGAACGTGCGTGGCCACAGATCAGTTGCCTTGCGGTAGAGCCATCTCAATATGGCCAACTGTGTGCAACTTTCAGGGACCTCTGACAACCCCATCTAGTTTCTCATCGAGTTCTGCCGACTTGGGCTGGAAAAAAAGGAAAAGCAAAGGGGGAGAAATGGTGGGGAAAACTTAGGGTCTTAAATACTTCCTCGAGACAGACAAAAAACTGTAATAAAAGCAGGATGGATCTGGCCAGTACAAAATGTCTATGGCGTGTAGTGTCTTATCTAACTTTAGCTTACCTCATTTAACCCAAGTCAACACATTTTACCACCCAAACCCATGACAAGTGTCAGTGCTAATCATATCTGTCCTCTTTACAGGGTTTAATGGGACCCAGAGGCCCTCCTGGTGCCGTTGGTGCCCCTGTAAGTATGGAAGGCATGTGATTTCTCTTATGCAAAAAGAGAGGATTAAACAGCAAGATTTATAATGAGACTTTTTCCTCCTCTCTCTCCAGGGACCTCAAGGCTTCCAAGGACCTGCTGGTGAGCCTGGTGAGCCTGGTCAAAGTGTGAGTGCAGTTTTCTCCCTTTGAGATCAATGTTTGTTCAATAAGTTTATGAAGCCAGCCTTTACCAATGACAGATGTTTCTTTTCCTCAGGGTCCTGCAGGTTCCCGTGGTCCAGCTGGCCCTCCTGGCAAGGCTGGTGAAGATGTAAGTACTTATGCTTAAGCTCTTCCAAAGCACCATTTCTATGTTCCTGACTCGACAAGTATTTCTTGATCCAATTTAAGTGTTCTGCCAAAGCTGAGTATGCCTGACACAACTCTTTCCATATGGGAAGCATTATTTTTAATGAAATATTAATTAAAGTGGTTGTGTTTAGGGAAATGTGATTATTCATTAAATATGTGTTTGGATCCATATTTTCATGTGCTACCTTTCTCTTCCACTGTGAAAACAAGATGCCCCACTTTTGTCTGGTTGTTGCCCAAGTCAAGTCTGACCTTGTGATGTTTTCATGCTTCAGGGTCACCCCGGAAAACCTGGACGACCTGGTGAGAGAGGCGTTGTTGGCCCTCAGGTGAGGCTTTTCATAATAATATGCAGCCCAAACAATAGAGACTTCTTAGATATAATTGCTAAATCAAACACTCGTCTAAATGGCACGCGAATGTCTTTCACACCTGTCACATTGACTGAAGCCATCTGACTGAGGAGCCTAAGGCATAATGCATGCACTCTTATTAATATAAATAATGTGAATTAGTGACAGAACATATTCTTTTTTTTTAATTTTATTTTTTTTATTTTTTACATTGTAAAGAATATCTTTTTTTTTTCAAAGTTTTATTGATAAACAGATAGCAATGAGACAGTTAAACAAACTACTCCCTTTTTTTTTTTTTTTTTTTTTTTTTTTTTTTTGCGGGGGTCGGACCAGGGATTGAACTCAGTCCTTTGAGCTTGCCAGGCAAGCACTTATTCTACTGAGCCATCTCTCCAACCCCCCCAGAACATATTCTGAGAGCAACTAACCTGTGTGTTCTACAAATACCAGAGTCTTAGATAGTTGCATTCAGGCAATGAGTTTGTGGCTTTGAGCCTTAAAACATGCTAGACTTTGATTCTAATCTTGAACCTTGATGAGAAGAATTACATTAGAAGAAAAGAGAAATCATTGTCCTTTATGACAAAAAAAAAATCATCTTGTTCTGAATTTCTTCCTAAGGGTGCTCGTGGATTCCCTGGAACTCCTGGACTTCCTGGCTTCAAAGGCATTAGGGTGAGCACATTTTTTACCCAGTTAAGAGAAAATGTTGGTTATTTTTCTGAAAATAACTCAATTGTACTTAGTCCCTGGGTGGCACAACCTGGCTTCCCCATTCCTGGAGTCTGCCAAAAGGGAGGGAAAATTGAAGTGAAGTGAGTTCTTTAGTCAGTTCATAGCTACCAAGAAACAGGATTGCGACTGAGAAATTGCACAGAATACATATCATGTCTGAGTATTATAACATCCAAAAATCATAAAAGTATTAATCACAGCAGGGATGCGAGACAGCATCTACTGCTTCCCTTCTCAAGAGCATGGGTAGGTGGCATAGCTGGGACTCGTGCATACACTCACCTACAGCTAGAAGGTTGGTTTCCACTCCACAAGTGGGCACCAGTGCCGCTCAGGAGATAGTAATTGCCAAGGTAGAAGATTTGCATCTGACCAGGCACTTTCATGGAACCGCACTTTAATAATAAGGATTCTTTTCCAGGGACACAATGGCATGGATGGATTGAAGGGACAGGCTGGAGCTCCAGGTGTGAAGGTAAATGCTGCTACAAGTATTGTTTTCAATAATTGACTCAATTTCCCTCCCACCCCCAGAAAGCATATGTTTACTGAATACTGTCCACGTTCTAAAAAGTACCCTCTTTTCTCTTTCATACTTCAAATCCCTCAATGGAGAGGGCTATCCAATCCTATGACCAAAAAAAAACTATTGATATTTATTTCATTTAATATCTGTAAAACAATCAAGACACAAATAATGTCAATAACTTTCTCTTTTCATTCCTTTCCTCCTCCTAGAATTTCAGTTAGTCTCTGTAGCCAAAACAGAAGTAAATAAACATATAATCAGGTATTGGGACACTTTGTTATTTTAAACTGCAAATTCTCCTTTGCCATGCACTAATTAGATAGGTACATGCATGTCACAATATATTTTTCAACCTCTTTGCTGTGATTTATCTATGCACACTCAAAAAAATTTTAATTAGGTAATTAAAGTCTCAGAAGTGCGTTATCTCTTGGCTAGACTCTTCCCTGACAGCACTTTCAACTATAAAATGTTCTCTTTCCTATTAAGGAGATAATGTGATATTAAAGTGAATACCAACGTAATTACAAATTAATGAGTAATGAATACTAGCGGGACCAGAAATGAGCATGAATACAGAGAGTCTGTTCCTTCTTTCCAGCTGCCACACAAATGGATAAGGTCAAACTCATTCTCTCAGGAGCCCACGATAACATCTCAGACTACTAATCACACTATCTTAAAACGTTAGTGCTGCGAGGCGCTTTGTAGGTACCCTTGCATTGCAGATCAGGGAAACTGAGGCTTAGCAAGAGCTAGCGACTGGCTTGATGACACATTTAGTCATTTGAAGGGCCCCTCATGTCCACTCCATGCTTGCCCTAAAAAACTTGCTTTACTTAGAACCTTAAAAATAAAGCATGTTTATGTGGCCTTAGATACCATGGTTTTTCTATTCCTAAGTCAAACTAGTTTGAGGGAAAGCTTAAAATATGAGTTGGATATAAATATGACAACTCTAAGAAATATTATGAAGCTCCAAACCTTCATGCATACTTATTAAATTGATAATATTGAATTCCCTCAATAACTTCAAAGAGGGTAAGTGTGGTTATATTGACAGAAAATTTATCATTTGCCATCTGTTTTCATAATATCCTTTAATATGTGTCTAATCAAAATGCAATTCATAATATAAAGTGGAAATTTAAGAAAAGGTACAGTCAAATAACCATGTCTTGTTAGTACCTTGATACTTGATATATTTAAATAAAGACTCAGAATTCAGCGATTTTTAAAATGTGAGTGCCTGGAATAATTAAGAAACAGTCGATCTGTATGAGAAGTATTATAAAATACCTACATAGTACACATTGAAATGGCACAGTAAAAAATCATCCAATCAAGAGAAAGTAATTAATAGATACATGTAATAACCAAGAATTCCATCTTTCTTCTCCAAATAGGGTGAGCCTGGTGCCCCTGGTGAAAACGGAACTCCAGGTCAAGCAGTAAGTATTAATTACTTCAAAATAAATCTAAATGTGTACACTCGTTGCAGACTACAACTTCATTAACATTTTTGCAAATTAATACCATCTTCCTCAGCACTGTACTCTGATATTTTTTAATAGCCCTTTACATATTTAATTGAAATCCACTTCCTCTCGGTTGGTATTAGAACAAGACCTGCTGTTTAGTGGACTCTTGCACATATCGGAAATTGAACAAATCAAATGATGCTTGTGATGATGTTTAAAAAGGCTTTCTAGGTTTTAATGAACATATCTCTGCTTCCAGGGAGCTCGTGGACTTCCTGGAGAGAGAGGACGTGTCGGTGCCCCTGGCCCAACTGTAAGCATCACTTTTTTTGGTCCTCTTTATCCTTTTAAAATGTCTTCTGCTGTGTGCCTATTAACTTGCTGTCTGACTCTTTCCCTTTTTTTCTCCGTAGGGCGCCCGTGGCAGTGATGGCAGTGTCGGTCCTGTGGGTCCTGTTGTAAGTTCTGAGACTGGGGGACTTCAGAGGATTCAGACTCTGGGTGGGAGGCATCGTCTTCACTAAGATCCTACAAAGCAACATCATTTCAGAGACTTTATCTCATTTTCTGAGGTCTTAAACATCTTATGGGCTACTTATAAAGATTTGGGACTGTTGATTGATGTATAAAGCCAGGTCATCCCTTCCTTAGATACTTTGAGTGTCTTCTTTAGTAAGACATTAATGTCAACATGCTACCTGTCAGTGTTCCCCTTGTCTGCACCCAGTAAGATGGGGACATTCTTAGCTACTTCATTCTTCTGCAGTTGTCTTCTTAGTTCACGTAGAGGACATTTCTTACTGTTTTCAGGGTCCTGTTGGAGCTGCCGGCCCTCCAGGCTTCCCAGGAGCCCCTGGTCCCAAGGTAAAAACACCTCTGACCTTGTTGCTACCCTGATGAACTTTTTACCTGTCATATGAAAGATTAAAACTGTGTTTGCATAAAGAGAAATAATCATAGAAAAGTTCTTTAGTTGGTCCCATGTGATACAGAATGACCAGTCTCTCACTCCCTGGTTAAAATAGACCATTTCTCTGCCTTTGCACACTAGCACAGTAGTTATAGCTGGCAACATGAAAGTTGGTTACATGGACTCTGGTGGGATAAACTCTCAAACTAGTTCCCACTAACTGAAAACCAGTGCCAGCCATGGAAAGACAGAGGTAGAGAAGAGATAGCAATAATAATCGCAATGGTAGAAAAAAGTTAGGGGAGTCAGAAATCAATCCCAAAAAAAAAAAAAAAAAAGAAATCAATCCCAAATCTTGTAAAAAAAACTAGATATGAAAAATGATTGCTGTGCTGAAAAAATTGCTTAATGCTTAGTGTTACAATAACAGACATACACTTTCAATGTTTACTATACAATTCCTCTGGGTCATTTCCTCTTTTTAGGGTGAAATTGGGCCTGTGGGCAACACTGGTGCTTCTGGCCCTGCGGGTCCCCGTGGTGAAGTCGGTCTTCCAGGTCTTTCCGGCCCTGTTGGACCCCCTGTAAGTAGCTGCACTCCTTAACCTTATAGAACAGAATGCTGGGGAGAGGGACAAACGGAATAAGTTAGGATCCAAGAGACCAGAATCGTTTTGGTTAACAGATAACTTATTCCTTTCCTTTTTCCTCACAGGGAAACCCTGGAGCTAACGGCCTTCCTGGTTCCAAGGGTGCAGCTGTGAGTACAGATCTGGGTCACCATTGTGCTTCCATGAGTTTAAAGGCATTTGATGAGTGCTGCCTCTACAGTCCCTGACCTTGAGATGCTCTGTGTTCCCTCCCAGGGTCTTCCTGGTGTGGCTGGAGCTCCTGGCCTCCCAGGTCCCCGTGGTATTCCTGGCCCCGTTGGTGCTGCTGGTGCTACTGGTGCTAGAGGACTTGTTGTAAGTAGTTGGATCAGTGGCTTTGATGCCCCAGAATGCTGGCTTTACCATCAGTTCATCACTATCTAGTGCCCTTACAGTTTTGTTCTTCCTGTTTTTCTTTCTTAACTGTTTTAGTTTGCGCTTCCTAAGTAGCTGTACATACATGAATGTTGTTACCCTCACCCTCACACTCACACTCACACACAAACTCGCACCTCCTGCTAGCTCAGGAGCTTGTACAAAGATAAATGAGGCAAAGCCCACAATTCCAGTCCTGCCCTTCCACCAACACCATTCCTAAGCAGGTCGTTGAAGTATGAAGGGGTTACATTCCTGGAGAACTTGAGGTCTTCTTTACCTTAACCCATGCACGTTCCAAGAGATTTGTCCACCAGAGAATTCTGCCAAACATTTGTCATTTGACCACTGTTTTATCTTGGATATTAGGGTGACCCTGGTCCAGCTGGTTCCAAAGGAGAAACTGGAAACAAGGGTGAGCCTGTAAGTAGTCCTATCATCACAGTTCTGTGGAGTTACTATCCTTGCAACCCAGCCTCTGAAGCAGGGAATGATACAACCTTATTCTACTTTTCCTCTCTTCTTCTTTTTGTTACACAGGGCTCTGCTGGACCCCAAGGTCCTCCTGGTCCCAGTGGTGAAGAAGGAAAGAGAGGCTCCAATGGTGAAGTTGGATCTGCTGGACCCCCAGGACCTCCTGGGCTGAGAGTAGGTTCTAAACACTCCAGACACCCAGACCCACTAGAGGCAATGGTGACAGCACCTCACTGGGGCTTGCTCAAAATCACTGCATGCATTTTCTAGATGAAAGAAGCATCTGCCTTCCATCTGTTCTTCTTAAATCAGTGACTCAATTCAATAGATTATAAAATTAGTCTCGAAACGATGGTGACCTCCTTGGGCAGACTGCTGATCAACACAGTCCCTTGGGATTTGAGTGAAGTGCTTTGGCCCTATCTGTGTCACGTTTGAGTAAACTCCACCTTATCACATTCGAAAGTTTTCTCTAATTCCCTTCTGTTTCACGTTCTTTTTGGCAGGGTACTCCTGGCTCTCGCGGTCTTCCTGGAGCTGATGGCAGAGCCGGTGTCATGGTAGGATGTCCATCACTCACATCCCCTGGGAGGAATTGGATCTCTTTCTGCTGTGTGGATCATGGGCTTTAGCATCCTTCTCTCTACACTTTCTTCCTAACAGGGCCCTGCTGGTAGCCGTGGTGCCACTGGCCCTGCTGGAGTCCGAGGCCCCAACGGAGATGCTGGTCGCCCTGGGGAGCCTGGTCTCATGGGACCCCGAGTAAGTTTCAGGCGGATTCCAAGCAAGTCACATCTGGCACCGTTTTCTTCTTTAATGGGTTGGTTAATGTTAAAAACATCTGAAGCAAATTTGTTAGTAGACTTGCTGACAGTTTCCTTTTTAATTTGACTTCATCAAGGCTCCAGAGATATTTTTCATGTATCTAGTTAGTTCATAAATTTCCTATTTATTACTTGATACAATGGCTTGATCTATTCTTTGGTAGACTAGATTTATTTTAATATATCCAAATTAAGTTGGTTCTCCTATAAGCATGAATCTTTTATCTTAATTTGTGGGGTTTATATAAGGTGTTCATGAAATGTATCAAGGCTATACGTTATTAGTTTATTAGATTCATAAATGAAATCGTTTTTCCAGCCATCACAAAGGTCTATAATGTATTCAGCATCACACAAGCTATGGGGAGATGACCTTTAGATCTGTAGACACTCTAATCCATAGCAATAGAGTCATTTTTTGCTCCATTATCTCTTATGGGTGAAAATCAACTGTAATTGTACCATAAACAAGTAATAGAGACACCAAATATAGCAATAAAAAAAAAAAACCACTCCGGAAATTGCTTACTAAAAGTATTAGTTCTCCTATTATGTGCTAGATAACATGATTCATCTTACCCAACAGCACGGTGCTTAACAGTTCCTTGTGATATTTGTAACCGGATCTGTTACACTAAAATTCAATGAAAGGAAAGGTGCAAAAAACAGAGGGAAAATTTCAGGCCTCTTCTCACACTTTCTAGCTAGTGGCTAACATCCCTAATGATTTACCCCAGAAATAAATAAATAAATAAATAAATAAATAAATAAATAAATGTAGGGGGGAAATGCTTTTGTGAGATTCCAATTAATTTGAGACTTGAGTAGGGGAGATGATGTGCCAATACAAAAGCATCCTCATTTGTTTTACAGGGTCTTCCTGGCTCCCCTGGAAATGTTGGCCCAGCTGGTAAAGAAGGCCCTGTGGTAAGTATTGCTCATTCTCCATTATATGTTCAAGGACACTTATTGTACCCTTATCATGCCTATTTTGTGTTTTATTTATACATGAATACATTGAAAATAAATATCAGCCACCTACATCATCTGGGAGCACAAAGTAATAGGCTGTAATTATGGACTCCAAATGAACACGGGACTGGAAGCGGAGGAGGGCAACGAGAAATAGGGCAGGGAAAATTGAAGCAGGTGACAAGGGTAGGGAGAGAGGGAGAGAGAGGGAAATTACATATATATGAGATTGAATTGGCTGTGGATATACCGAATTCCTATTTAGAAAAGGAAAATGAATTCATAATTTACTGACATTTTTTACAAGAAGCTCTGTGTATTCAGAAAACTGCTCTGTTTCCTCTCACGGCAGCATCACAAGCTTGAGATTTGGCGACTGTGTTAATGTTGAGTGAACCTCCAATGTCTCCCAATTTTCAGGGTCTCCCTGGTATTGATGGCAGGCCTGGTCCAATCGGCCCAGCTGGTGCAAGAGGTGAAGCTGGCAACATCGGATTCCCTGGACCCAAAGGCCCCACTGTAAGACTTCCTCCCCTTAGGAGAAAATTTTTTCCTACATGTCACCAAAACTAGCATTTCCTGCTTATCAGCGCAGCATACTTCAAGGGGGAACATGGATCCTTCCAGCGTAAGAAAAACTGGGCAGCGTAGCACCTTGAAGGTTTCCCCCGACATACCCTCACACACCCGCTCAAAGCCCCGCTCCTGAGGCTGCAGCCTCCGCAGACAAATGAGCTTCCTATTTGATCAGCCCTACATGATGACGGATTGTACCCTGGATAATACACTTCCAGGACTTGGAATCAGCAAGAAATTTCAGACGTGTCATAACTAATTGGACGTTACATATATAAGACTTGTTTTCTGTCTTGTTTTGTCTTTAACTTCTATTATAGGGTGATCCTGGCAAAAATGGTGATAAAGGTCATCCTGGTCTTGCTGGTGCTCGGGTGAGTGTCACCTTCCGTAAAGCCTACTCCTAATGAATTGTCCCAAGAAACACACACCCCTGGAGTCCATCTTCTATTGTTCTGTCACTTTTTTTTTTCTGACATGGCATCCCCAGGGACCCTTCATCATCATAAAAATGTCTTCTTTCTTTTAATACACATGTAAGGCAGTGAGCTATAACAAATTAGAATATATGTTCAGTCAAAGATACTTACGGAAGCGCTTGGTCTTGATTTCACTCACTTTGTGATTAAAGGGGTTTGAGTATGAGGTCGTAGTCTCTGGCATTTACAGATGGCCTTTTCTCCGTGGAGTTCCCTTAAGCCATATTGGAAGTTGGCAGGCGGCATTCTGGCATTGGCAAAAACCCACAATGGGCATAATGTGTGCTAAAAGGGCACACATGTACTCAGGAACTAACTTTAAAAGAGGCTTAGAGACATCGTCAACCGCCTGGCTCTCACGTAACCACAGCCATTTCTGCCCAATGCTTTTAGGGTGCTCCTGGTCCTGACGGAAACAATGGTGCTCAGGGACCTCCTGGACCCCAGGTGAGTATTTTGCCAACTCCTGTGTTTTTCTGCCCTACGATGTCCCAATCCTGGAAAACAATCATCTCCATTTTCCAGTTCAAAAGTTAAATAGATAAGCAGCAAGGGTGGCGAGCATGCTCTTTATGCTGTCCTGTCCCTTTCAGGGTGTCCAAGGTGGCAAAGGCGAACAGGGTCCAGCTGGTCCTCCAGGTTTCCAGGTGAGTCAACAAACACATGCCACACCCCTTCTAGCTGGACTCTCTACCTCCAGCTCCTGTATCCCTCTCCCCTACCACACGGAACACAGCTTCTCAGCTGAAGCACTGGGTACATTTTATTTCAGAGTAAATGCTTTAAGAACTTTTAATCCTGCTGTCATGCTGATTTTAGGTCATTGCCCCTTCACCTAAATATAATCATAAAATTGAGCTTTATGTTTTTTCTTTACTTAGGGCCTGCCTGGCCCTTCAGGCCCAGCTGGTGAAGTTGGCAAACCGGGAGAAAGGGTAAGTGAAATGAGTGATAATAAATCCACCCAAACTTTTGAGTTTCCTTCTGCCTAATGCCCTGGGACAGCACAATCACACTATGGAAAAGGAAATTTCCTATTTCATGTGTTAATGATAGTGTTCTACTTACGTTGATGCTGAGACTGAATGAACAAAGTCACTCATTTTAGTTCAAATTACTTTGTTTTATGGATTGAGTGGACCACCATATTATAAAAGTAAAATCTATCAATGAATAGTTCATATAATAGCCTTACTTTTTTTGTTTTGTTCTTGGTGGTGTTAAAATACAAATTATTTCTGTCTCCATAGTGAAAACGCAAATGCACTGATTTCCCATCAAACGAGACCCTGAAAAATTGCTTTTAATGTTTTTCTTGGCATTCAGATGTGACACCGCTATGCACGATCAGAGCCTGAGTTCTGAGTCATTTTCTCTGTAATTGTGATGAATGCGCCTCAATTGAGTTGCATTCTGTGGCCTCATCTCCTTTGTCAACAGTGGGGCACATTAAGGAGACAGCTGGTCAGTAATAAAAGAGGTACACTTGGGTGTACAATTAACTAAGTAATGTACAAAATATGATAATTTCTATTAAGAAGCCAGTCTGTTATACAGCTAAAAATAAGCCATGTCTGATAGTGTTCATTATTATTTTTCATATTATCAAAGAAAATAGTCTGCTTTGCCCCTTTTTTAAAAGCCATAAGCCAAATAAGAAACTTGAATTTTCTGATAGCAATTTTCTAAGATGGATTTACCCGCTATCAATTGAATTCTCTCTTTGTGTGTATTTTTCCATGGGCAAATGAAGATTTTGTTGTACATCTTACTGTGTATACTTGGGCTTCTTTTTAGGGAAAGCACAGGCAGATTTCACTTTTTAAGAACCTCTTGAGCATCATATTCTTCTGCGAATTTAGAATTCATGTATGCATTTCACACTTTATTTATTTTCTGGTTTTGCCTAGGGTCTCCCTGGTGAATTTGGTCTCCCGGGTCCTGCTGGTGCAAGAGTAAGTGTTATTTAATTAACTTTCATAAAATCTTGGCAACACACTTTCTAAAATGTAGTGCTCCCCCCCTAAGCCAATGAGGACCTTCCTTGCTCTGAGCTGCAGGCTCTCTTCTGTGGCCAAGCATGACCTGCAGAGACGGTGAATATATCTAAGTCGATAATGGACTTTGCTTAGTTGCTCGCAGCTCCTCTTCAATAACCACAAAATTATACGACACATAAGTGAACTTATACACGTGATATCTAACAATTTATATAGATGTGATATGTTTGTGAAAGTAGCTTAACTTGAGCCAAGGCACAGGAGTACCTTAATGAGATCATAATGCCTACTTAACTTACTCTGCTGTTTGAACTCTAAAGCTAAACTCTTGTGTCTAATTTTATGAAGAAAAATAGATATAAGGCAGAGATCGAGGGGAAGAGATGAATAAAGCATTAAAGTGTGTTGTGTATATGGATCAACTCCCCACAAGAAATGTAATCATTATGCACTATGAACCTGTACTACTAAAAAGTAAAAATTGAAAGAAGAAAAATCATTGAAGAAAAAAAAGAAAAGAAACACTTATTTTGTTGCTATTTGCGTAACTGGAATGTTAGTTTGCCACTAAAGTATCATCTTGTCTTGCTGGTTATCATATACATTGGAGCCCAAAGTTAGTGTCAAAAAACCATAGTACCACAGAATCAAGTTATATTAAGTTCTTTTGATGTCATTTCAATGTGGATCTGTGCAATAAATATTCATAAATGCAAGCTGGGAGACATTTATATAAATGACAGATAAATTACAAATACACATATACATATCATATATGTTCAATATTATAACTATTACATCATTATTGCATGAATTTACAAAAGGGGACAGATATCAAAATATAATTTTATCTGTACCTGACATTGTTATTTAACTAAATTGCTACAATCATTTCATTTAATTATTACAAAGAACTGGCATGTATTTTTTAATCTATAAACCTATCCCAGAAAGGACCACAAATACATAATTAATAAGCAAGAAAATGAATGGTAAAGGTGGAATATTGCGAGTCTATAAGCAACAAATTTTAGAACTGTAGTTCCAGAACATTAGAACAAAATGAAACTTTAGGGATGACTTCATGCCACCCCTTTATTTTGTGAGTAGAGAAATTAAGAACAAAATTAATTTTAACTACCTGGAAAGAGGCCAAACTGGGACTAAAAATCTAAACTGAAGGTGTGCAAATCAGTATTTCTGAAAATGACTTCATCTCACTGCTGTTTTTCAGGGGGAACGTGGTCCCCCCGGTGAGAGTGGTGCAGTTGGTCCCTCTGGTCCCATTGGAAGTCGAGGTCCTTCTGGACCCCCAGGTCCTGATGGAAACAAGGTAAGAAACTGTTTTATACATTGCCAGTGTGCCCTAGTGTACCCTAGAATAAATAACCCTTTAAATAGACTAACTTTTATTTATTTTCCATTCTGGGCCAATGTCTACCCCAGTTAATAGCAATTTGTTTCTAGTGGATCTGAATAATTCTGAAAGAAAACGGGAAGTAGAGGGATCTCGGTATTCTCCCCATAGTAAAGAACTGTAGAGAAGGAGCGGAGATCCATCCATGTATAAAAACATGGAAGGTATAGTCTCTGAAACACAAACATCTTCCCAGCCGATGAGGGCTCTTTCCAGTAGGAGACTTGAAAAAGTTTGGCGGGCAAATGTGTTTCACTCTCTGCTCTCCCTCATCCAACCCTTTATGCTTCCACACTGTCTCCCCTAAGAACCACAGTCTTCCCCTTCCACTCCTCTCTTCTCTCTAGTCACCATTACTAACACCCCCTGGACATTGTCTCTTTCCTTTTTGTCACTAAGCAGGCATGGATACTAGCTAATAGATGTTTACATTGGAATCCTTCAAAGGTTTGATTCTTCATTTTCTTTTTTTGCCATTGAAATAATTGACTTGACATGTGTTTGATTCAAGGGTGAACCTGGTGTGGTTGGTGCTCCGGGTACCGCTGGTGCATCTGGTCCTGGTGGCCTCCCGGGAGAGAGAGGTGCTGCTGGCATACCTGGAGGCAAGGGAGAAAAGGTACTCTCTACCCTCTACCCTCAGCATAGGACCTTCATGCCTACTATTGATGAACTCTAACACAAGGGTTCCCAATTTTCTTACAATTCTTTGCAGGTAGTATGGTAGCCTTTTGATGTCTATCCACACCACATATCCCTCTGCCACCTAGAGCCTACACACTTCTAAACTCACACTACCCTGGCAAAATTCCTTGCTACCATGGAAGTGCATGGAAACAGATGGTGTTGAGTCACACAGGAGGCTCATTTTAATGCCACTAACAATAATGCCTCATCCTGCCCTAATTAATGGGGGAAAAAGCTATATTGAACAGCTGTCAGCCATGCTGCTGAATTAGCTATGCCGTAGAGTGATGAGGCACGGTGGCCCATTGTGACGGTGCCTTATAGTTCTGTCCACATGAACTGGTACCTGGCTTGACTGTGTGCAGAGGGGGGATATGGACATTAGGAAACAAGCATTGAACCACAAGGGTCTTGAATTTTTTTTCTGATTTTTCCCTCCATTCAACATCTTATGAAATAGTAGAAAATGAGAAATTACTAAAAATCTTAATTAACGAAAGGTACAAGAATAGCTTCTCTTAACACTTTAGGTTGACCTGGATTCAAAAATTTTGTCAGAAAACAAAAACTTGCTCTTACTTTATACTTTCAGGGTGAAACTGGTCACAGAGGTGAACCTGGTAACACTGGCCGGGATGGTTCTCGTGTAAGTAGAAATTCGTTTTTATGTAGGTTTGTACTCAGATCTTTGTCTTTCACATTTTACTTAATTTCAATTGAGAAAGTTTCCAAAATAGAGCTAGGCAAGGAGAATCAGGTTTAGTCAAATAGTATTCCATTTCATCCTGAATCTACAACTAATCATATCATTTTACATGTGCCAAAAAAAATTCAACAGGAACTTTAAAATCACATCCTGAATTTTCTACCTTGGCTAGTATTAAATATACCAGCTGCTAATGAAAGACCAAAAGCTCTAGGTTTAACAGAATGTTAAACAATTATCTTAAGTAATGACAGGCTTTAAAAAAAGAAAATAATAATGCTTTCACGTGCTAAATCCCAGAACCCCAACAAGGTCCACAGTCATGCCCATGTGTGTTCTAGGACTTTATCAAAGAACAGCCCCAAAGATGAGGTGTTAAGGCCCTACAGATGCCGAAGATAATCCCCTGTGGAATAATTACCCTGCCTAGGGTGTCTGCTTCATGACACTTCCAAGCCACAGCCTGTCTTAGCTCTTCTTCTCACCTCTCCCAGGGAGCTGGTAACTCACTGCAGTCCAATGCTGACCGTCTTTCCCACCAACTACACTGTTCTATCAGTTCCTAGTGAGGTTACTCATTTTCTCCTCCCCAAGGAATTGTACAAGAACAGAGAGTTCAAATCTCCCAAATGCTGAACCTGTCCTTGATGTCCCCATAACCTTTATTACTGGAACTCTCTCCTCCTGAAAGTGGCTTCTGGCCATCTGCATAATCAGAACTGAAATGTATCAAAGGTTTTCTTGATGTCCAACTAGAGCGTGCAATAAAAAAAAATGCTATGTTCCTATAAAAGCGTAACACTGAGGGAAGACAAGAGTTACTCCTAGTGGTAAGAAGTGTTATTCATAAGATGCATCTCTTTTTTTTTGGTATTAGGGTGCTCCTGGTGCTATAGGTGCCCCTGGTCCAGGTGGAGCTACAGGTGACCGGGTAAGCATGTACCTTCATTGAGTTGTAACTTTCTGAGCTGACAAAACTGCCTAAACTTTCCTAGTCCCTAGAACTCCAGGATTTCATTTTTCACAGCTTGTAATGAAATCAAGCTGTTTGGATAGGGTAACCAGAAACGAATGCTGTGTGTTTAAGATTCTCTTTCACTTCTTATAGATGCACCAGGGATCTGATCTATACTTTAATCCCTATCATTTGTTTTAAAGATGTTCCCTGCTGCCTATTAACAATATCCTGATGCACTAAGCCTTCTCAAAACCTTCAATTGTAAAAAAAAAAAAAAAATCACACTTAAAATAGACCTTATTTATTGTATGGCAAATACTGCAGCAAATAGATCAGGCCTGTGTCCATCTCACAGTTAAAATGCCCCCTTCCTAGTAGTATGGGTACTGATTTACAGTGATTTTGCAAGTGTATAACCCATACCATTTTGACCCTTATAATGAATGCAACATTAAGTAGAGTTAAGAATCCACTTTATTTCACATTGAGGTATGCATGCGTTATTGCTCTCAAGGCATCTACAAACTCTAACCACAGCCCACTGTCTATCGATGTTCTCACTCCTTCCCGCTTCCTGGATCTTCTATGTGAGGCATTTATTAAACTCCTCTTTGGTCCCATTACAGGGTGAAGCTGGTGCCGCTGGTCCTGCTGGCCCTGCTGGTCCTCGCGGTAGCCCTGTAAGTAAAAATCTGGGTCCTCTGGATACAAAAACATCATCAAAACTTTGAGATGTTTGTGAATCTCCAGTTGCTAAGACATTTTGAAATCCACCTAGGGTGAACGTGGTGAAGTTGGTCCTGCTGGCCCCAACGGATTTGCTGGTCCCGCGGTGAGTATCACATCAAGGAGCTCAATCTTGGAACGGTGCACATAGAGAGAGTCCGCATACCAAGTCATAACTGTTCATTTTCCACAGGGTGCTGCTGGTCAACCTGGTGCTAAAGGCGAGAGAGGCACCAAGGGACCTAAAGGTGAAAATGGTGTCGTTGGTCCCACTGGCCCTGTCGGAGCTGCAGGCCCCTCTGTAAGTTGGTTTCTCTGGTGGTCAATAGAGACTCTAGCTACCCATCAGATTTTAAAATTCAACACTCATTAGCCGTGTGCCTATTATTTACCAGAGAATATACTAGATTAAAGATGATTTTCTTTAAAAAAAAAAAAAAAAGAATACCACTTGCATGCCACTTTACAGTGTATGAACATGTTGCAAATATTGTTTTATTCTTCAAGAACCTACAAGAGTTATAATGTTAAAATAAAAACATTTCATATGAGATAGACAACTATCTTTCACTTCTGAATTTTATTCTGATAGATATGGGAGTGATCCTAGATAATAAGTTAATAAGAGTTTTGTGTTTTGTGATTTGAGCTCATATTTTTATTTGCATTTAGGGTCCAAATGGTCCCCCTGGTCCTGCTGGAAGTCGTGGTGATGGCGGTCCCCCTGTGAGTACTTACAGTGCATTTGGATCACTTTTCCCTCCTCAGAATCTATTAGGGACAACTTGAAAGTTTTGACATCTTTGGTAAATTCAAGCTATAATGAGGAGACATTTGGGATTCGGGTCCCTTCTGATCAGAGTCATTCCAATACTGGAACTGGAGTCCATCATATAGTTGTTAATTCCCTCCGACACCCAGCATAGTCTATGTTACCGCCACCTCACTTGAAGGAGGAACCAAAGTTAACCTCAAGTAGTTTAACTGTGAAGT